ATGCCTAAAATGAAAATAGTAATTAGAGATATGAACTGGCACAACTCTAAAATTCCAAAATGACGTCAATTAAGATGTAACAACAACTGCGTGTAAATACATTCCCCAAAAAACAGCACTGATCGATATAAGCTGGTAAACAGATGCTGCGTATTTACCATCCCAAATAAATAGCAGTTTTATAATGAAAAGAAAAAATAATAGTAAATTTGGGATAAGGTTAAAAAATTGGACGTGGATGCGTACTTGTACATCCCTACCAAATGAAAAGAACCCTGGTGTTTAAACTAGAAAAATTCCAAAAGAATCCTTAAAACTGTAAGGGTCAAGTAAGAAAGCCGGAGTAACTGGAAACAAATGATGTCAGGAAAATGAGTGACTCATTCTATGTTTTTTCATTTATGCCCTCTGGGGAAACTTTCCTTAGCTTTCTTATCCAAAACCTTTCCCGAGCAAGTCTTTCGGCCCTTGACCAACCCTCGTTGTGGTCTATGATTGTGATTGTAAGGTTTTTGAGATCAGCTTGGGCGTGTCCAGGTGATCTCAAATGACGACTTACGGGGAGGTCGGGCTTGCAGGTGTAGTCACTTCGATGACCATTCATGCGTTTGTTGAATGGCTGTTCTGGCTCGCCAATATACTGCATGCCACATAGACACTGAAAAGAAGGTATACAACATTCTGTGTTTTGCAAGTTACATTGCAAAATATAGTGTACACAGACCCAGTGGAGTGGCAAGTAAATGTTTGAGTATTCAGTATTTGTTGGCAAGTCAGACATCGTATATATATATACCAGTATATATGCTGGAATGTGGCTACATAGAAATGCCTAACACTGATGTCGTGTATGTTTGTTCTTAAGCAACCCTCATTGTCAATTTCTAGACGTAAGTTAAGAAACCAGACAGACTTAAATGTGTCTGTGGTATCCTTTATTTCAAGTTCGATGGGATAAATGCGTTCAACATCGCCACCAAACTTTGAATTTGTTAGTGTCGGAGAGTGTCAACCTATATTGTTTGATGAAGAAATAAAAACATATCTTCTAAACGTAACAAATATGGTGCTATCAAACTAATTAAGCATTTTGATAATGGAAAGTGACTTAAATTGTATACATGTGCTCTAATAGATCTTCGGATTTTTTGAAGTATTTGATTCATACCTCCCCTAGAGTAGGTAGTATCACAGTAACTCAAAAGCCCGACTTTGACTGCTAATTAAATTGATGTGAATAGTTGTGAAAGAAGTTTCGTGGAGCACTTGATAGATCCAGCAATAACACGTTAGTTGTAAGGGCACTTATGTACTCTGACTATCTTTGGTTGAAATTTCAAAGGAAACATTGAACAGAGGAAACTGATTGTTCAGTAGCACCTCCTTTTTAAGTGTCGAGGCAGTAAATGTTGATTTTAATGCATTTTCAATACTTTATTTGTTTATTAAGCTTTTTTTTATGTAATGTGATTTACAAAGAAAAAGGATGTAGTTCGGGGCTTTTTCTGTTAGGAGTTTAAAACAGAAACTATCATTATAAAATGTGAATGTTGATAGACATATTGCCACGGACTGCCAACCAAGACAACAATTCTAATTTCATTGCTGCCAACTACTTTTGTTGTTCCATAGTGCAGACTACCCTCTTATATCAGAGAATCATCCACTTATGATAGTATTTTTAAGTCTAGACTCAAAAACTCAATAAGGAAATAGAATCGAAAGTGCCACTTTATTTTTCTGCTGGCACAATAATTGATATTTTAAACGCGTATGCTTAAGGCAAAAATGTAGTACATGTAGTAGTTAGAGAGGAGATCTTTTTAAATGCAATCTCACAGACTCGTGTAAGGGGACGACCATTTGATATTCTGGGGGGGGGGGGGGGGTGGGGGGCAGGAGGATTTGTTTTGGATCGGTTATTTATTTTTGTAAACTAAGAGGACAGATTATCTATTTTCTGCACTATTGCAGCAAGATTTTTCATTTTCATTAAAGCAAGGGACTGATTATTTATTTTCACAACTATATTTATAATATTCGAAAACATACAATTTTTAAATTATTTGTTTGTTATAAATAATTCATGTATAGTCAAGTCATTATGTACCATTTAATCAGAATTAATTATTATCCTCTGCAGAAATGAATCTTCTATATCCCCCAATGCATATACATGTATTGCATAAATACACAGTATTAAAGTTCGGTTGTAACTAAGGCTCTTTTAAAAGTATTGGCAAACATGTTTCGCCGAGCGGAGCGAGGCAAAAATTTTTTTTGAAGGGTTTTTGAACCGCTGAAGGCCCAAGAAGCTATAGAAATCATGATGCAAAATCATGCCTTCTGGGTGTTCCCCAGACCCTTTCTTGAACCGAAAATGCAAGTTCTGTTTTAATAGTTTTATGACAATATTTTGGTCTCAAAGCAAAATCACGTTATAGATTCAGTGTAAGACTTAAGTTTCTAGGAACAACATCAAAAGACAAATATGCATGATAAAGCAAAAATGTAATTCACATAGTTAAGTCTGTGGCTGCTATGTTTTTTTAAACTCATGATCAAGTTAATAATAAAATTACTAAATTACAAAATGAATGCAACACTAACAGAATACAGAAGGGCAATCAATGAACAAAAGACAAATAAATAAGAAACATTGATCCCGAAAAATCAGGGGCTACGTCTGAGGGAGAACAGAACTTGCTTCTTGCAAGGCACTCACGGTGAACACAATTTGATATGGAGACAAGCGTTTGGTTTTGAAATTTCCTACATGAGGCATTTGTCTCAATGTAGTTACGGCCCTGATTTAATAAAAGTGAGGTAAGTGTTCCTGAGACAATTAACCTCAAGTTAAATGAAACCAATTTTCTGACATTTCAAGTATATCTAAATAATATTTATACTTTTATTATTAAAAGATATGGGAAGTGTTTCCCGATTTTTTTTTGGAAAAAAGATGAATTTATGAAGAATCTGGTGCCATCTCATACTTTCGATTAGACCTGCTGAGTTATTTATTTTCAATACATTGCAAGTCAGGTAATTTATTTTCAAACTACCACAGAACAAACCATTTATTTTTGTGATTATCAAGGCTGAGTTATTTATTTTCAAAATCCTCCTGATCATTTTTACATCGCGATGACCTTGGGGTCATTCAGATGTATTGCTATCGCCTAGATTTCCATTATGTAAATTAGTTTTGGGTTTGTAACCGATCTATAAACATGATAAATATGCGCACATAAACGAATGCAAAATAACATTCCTTATCGTTTGATATAAATACATCTCTTCAATAAATACTGATAAAAATATTTTTGTTTACAACATAAATTAATAATATGAAAATGTTTTGTAGTTAGATATATATATATAAGTAAAAAATCATTGATAATATCAATGCAGACGTACCGAAAAATTGTGTTAAAGCATGCGGAAGAATATCTCAGAGAACTTTTTGCGAGGACCGGTAACTCTGTAATTGTTTTTGCGGGAAAATATGAATGCCTACTCGTATCCAATCTTAGAAAAATCGAATTTTTACAGAAAAGTGTCCACCATGTATACTGATTTGTATCACTACAATATAATAGTTATTACGGTGAAGTTGAATATCCTGTCATTTATTCATCATCCACGCACGAACTTGTCTCAGAAAAAAATATATCTCTGTACATTAACCTCAGTTTCAGGTAAAGAGATATGTTGTTTTTTTCTGAGACAAGTGCTTTTGACCATCCTCAAGAACTTGTGGTCATCCGATGTTCAGTACTTCAGTACTTTGATTTTCTTAAGTTGTTCACAAATATTCATGTTTGCTCCAGATCCGTTTACCAAAATTCACGTTGGACCAATCATTATTTTGGATTCTAATCAAGACGGTATAAAATGTGAATGAGTGTTGAAATTTAAAACATTGAACATGGGACATCACTAGTTGTAACACAAATCACAAGGTAACGCATGGGGTCGAGGTCGGACCTCTCTCGGTCGCATGACAAACACATTTTGCCCAGGTACCTAGATATTGAGCAGAAGTGCAACATATGTATCATAAAATACAAGTTTGATTGTTTTTCAAAATATTATACCTCTTGCATTCTCTCGAAAGCGTAAAAGATATTTCAGTTCATTATGAGCTAGGTATTTTTAACTTCACTACTATATAAGGGAACGACCATTTAACTTCAAGGGGAGGTTATGGTTTACTAAAAAATATTCTGATCCCCAATTTGATGAAAAAAAATATTCTGAATCCAGATTTTCCCCATACCTTATAGTGTTAAATTTTGAAAATAATATGATTGATAGTGCTGAAAAACTAAAGTAAAAATGTTTGCGAAAATATTTTTCTGACTCAAGACAAAAAACCATAACCCCCCACCACCCTTGAAGTCAAATGGTTGCTCCCTAATTATGATAAACGAAATGCAGTTCAAATTTGATTATCACTGTCACAGCTGTTTCATATGTATGCCCTTGGAAAGCGTCAAATAGTAATACTGGTAGTTTAATTTCCAGATAATAACATCAATAAGTTTCTTATAAGCTTCAATTGTTTTTGTCTCCTCAGTTGGCTGAACGAAGTTGACCTGTTTTTTTTCTGTATGAAAGTGTTGCTGCAGTTATCTTCTTTTCTCTACATGACAATTGATTTGTTAAAAAGATTAAACAATCTTCGTGCCTTACACTAGAAGAAAAGTTAATGCGTTTGAATTAAATATTAAGCAGTCATAAGTGCTGCTAAAGACTTGTAATTCATATATCAACAATATGATAATCTCAACTTTTCACTACAAGAAAAGTAAAATGACTTTGGCTTTTATTTAAGCAGTCATGAACCATGTGAGGAAAGGACTTGTAATATATTTATCATTTCTTGATTTAATTTTTTGTTTATTCTATAGTCACAAATCTTCATGATTACTGTGACCAATAAAATGTATTTGATATTCAAATACAATCAGGCTAAATTTCAACACACAACATAATATTTGTGAATACTTTATTATACAGCTAAAATAAATAAATAGATTCAACTCATAAAAAAAGTTATTCAACATGAAGAGCAAAATAGGAATTTTTTGACACACTGTTCACATAGAACAGTAAGTTACATACAAAATGGTTTAATTTAAAGCAAACTTTACAAACACATGCCAACAAACAAACACACTTTAGCTATATATGGTACCATAATCTGACCCATCTTCTCAATTAACATAATGTTATCATTATCTGTAATGGCAATGGATATTTGAGCGAAATGGCAGGACATTTGAGCGCTGAAAAAAGAATGTTTGAGCGCCAAAGTTTAGGACATTTGAGCAAAAAAAATAATGAAGGAGTACCTCTTCCTTTCGCCAGATATATTCTCTTACCCCTGCTCACCACAGGGAGGTGAAAGTAGAATTTCTAATAGGATATAGTTAATAAAATGTGAAGTTTATAACGTTCAAAGTTTAAAAAATCTTTTAATTGTAAAAAAACAAAGCACTGTCATAAAACTTAAAACTTGACAATGGCATTATTTACAAGTCAGTTCGGGCATGAAATTGATATCTTTTTTCCTTTGTTAGTCTCGGTCAAAATTATATCCATTTTAACATGTACATGTATTAGTATTAGGATCTTAAGTGCCAAGGGATATTTCACCTTATAAATATAAGAAATGTAGCACACAAAAAAATTTGCAGAGCCAATGAATTATAGAATCGATTGGTAAGTAGGGGTGTAAAATCAAATAAAATATATTTCTTATTTTATAAACTTACTCTTTTTTCTTATACTTTTTAAAATTTATCTTAATTCATATAAAAGTATCACAGGAAATTTCGCTCAAACGTCCTATTTGAAAATCTAGGTAATGCTAATATTCAGGTGCTAAAATTTCCTATGATGTCGGCGCTCAAATGACCCTATGTGCATTTTTTATTTTCACTCAAATGTCCTATGCCCATCTGTAATGGTATGGTACCATAATCTGATCCATCTTATCAATTAACATAATGTTATCATTAACTGTAATGGTATGGTATTTTTCAACAATTGCATTTTGTAAAAAAATATGCAGTGAAAATAATTCAACACTGCTAATTATGTACATTTTGTAATGCATAGTTCCTTCAATCACAGACAGTGATAAAAAAAATAAATTTTAAAAGTACACTTTCCCCAAATATCTAAAACTTTTCTATTTTGTATTTTTTTGTCTGTGATTATATTGAATTGAAGCATACAAGAATGGGAAAAAAGGACAAAACCAGTGATCTTTACTGAAAACGTACAAGAAAACAAAAGGAATAAAATGCTCCCTGGGCAAAGCTTGATACGACCGCAGAGGTCGAACCCTGAACAGTTGGGGCAAGTATGGACACAACATTCAAGCTTGATACAGCACTGAATTTGGATTGTAATTAAATATTTGACACAGCATAGGTTTCTGACACAGAATGAATGTGGTCTAAGAACTTAATTTTTTTTAATTTACCTATTCAAACCATATCATTGTTACTTGCTTTTATGTATAAATCAGAAATAACCAATTTAAAATGGAAAATTTTAAAGAAAAAAAAAAATCCCTCCCCCAAATTTTTTGAACCCCCTTATGATTCATCAATCCCAAACTCAATCCCAGCCTTCCCTTTGTGGTATGGTACCTTGCAGTACAATTTCAGAGAGATCCATACACTTGAAAACAAGTTATTGTCTGGAAACTAGAAAAATGTTTGTTTTTAGGCCCCTTTTTGGCCCCTAATTCCTAAAATTTTGAGGCAATTACCCCCAAAATCAATCCCAGCCTTTCCTTTGTTGTATGGTACCTTGCAGTACAATTTCAGAGAGATCCATACACTAACACACAAGTTATGTCTGGAAGTTACAAAAATGCTTATTTTTTGCCCCTAATTCCTTAACTGTTGGTACCATAACCCCCAAAATCAATCCCAAACCTTCCTTTTGTGGTATTGAACCTTATGGTAAAATTTCATAGAGATCCATTCACTTTAACTAAAGTTAAAGTGCAAAAACCAATGTGTCTTCAGACGACGCCGACGAAGCCAACATCATATCAATATAAGAATTTTGCGGTCGTATAAAAATCCAGTGATCATTATTGAAGACCAAGTACAATTGTTAACATCTGTACTTTAAATGTTAAAGAGTATAAATCTGAAGCTTGTAAGGTTTGAGAGATTTTTGCATTTTTTTGTCACAACTGTAATCATGGCACAAAACCTATACTTAAAGAATTCTTCACAGCAACAGAACAATTACCTGACAGGAGACAGTTAAGGAAAGTTTGGTGTATTTGTGGATGACTGCTAACAGTAAAGAATACGTAATATTACTATTTGATTCTTCAAATTTAAATATGTTGTTGGACAGATTGATGTATTTAGATGATATCATATATTTCTTTTTGAATCCTTATATTCAAATTATGTTGTTGGGGAGATTGATGCATTTTGGATGAAACAACAAGATACACAGTATTTTTTGTAATTTCTCTTTATTACAAAATATTATCCTTGTTTTGAATTATTTGTTTGCCTGTCAGCTAATTTGAACTAAATTTAAGAAAAGATTAATGATTTCTGATCAAAAGATTTATGTAACTATACATTTTAATAATCAACACTGTAAAACCAACTTATTTTCCTGAATACTTTATTTTGTGTTAAAACCTTTTTGGACAACATTAATTGCAGCTTTTTTTTTTGGAGGGGGGGGGGTTCTTAATGACTTGATGTATTAATGTAAGGGAAGGACCCAATTTTATATAGTAGTCTTTACAGTTTACATTACCATTATTTTTCTATTCATGAAAGTTTCAAAAATAAGTTGGTTTACAGTACTTGGAAATTACAACGTTGTATAATTATCTCTACATTCTCCCTTAATGCTGTTCTATACCACAAAAAAAGATGTTTATAATCTCCACATTATATGATAATATTGTTCATAAAAAAAATATGTAAAAACAATACACTGAAATATATTTACAAAGAGGTGTTATCATTCATCAATAAAAGTTGCAGGTTTTGGCATTTAAATCGTATAAAAAAAACACTATTTTTATATGAGCAGTGATTCTACATTCCAAATTATAAGCCTGGGCTCTCGGTCATAAAAATTTACTCAGTACTCCGAATACAAAATTTGTGCTTGAAACACTCAATCCAGTGTTTTCATTGGTTGGTTTCTGAGTCTGAGTACAACAATCGTACTCAAAAGTTTAATGACCACAAGGCCATGTATCTTTGATCAGTATATACAGTCAAAAGTGGTCTGTTATTGTGTTGAAAACTTGCTGAGAGAAAATGCAGTTATTTCATGTTTGTTTGGGTTCTTAATGTCTAATTATTATTGATAATATATTAAATCATTTATACTTTCACATAAAATGCCCTCTGATTCACAGAAGAACCCATGCATACATCACAAAAATATATAATCTCTGCACACTTACTAATAAATTTAACAGTTCCAATTTTACTGCACCAGATCCATTGACAATAAATGCCTTTACAATGATGCTCAAGGCCAAAATATCACATCGTTTTTTTTTTACAAAGTATGCTAATTATCACACAAAAGCTGATATAATTTTCCCTTTATATGGATTCCATGAAATATAATTTCCAAATTATGAATGAATTGTAAATTTTCTACATTTTTTTCAATAAAAAAATATTAATAATAATAATCTGTCCCATTGACATAAAAAATTACGATAATCATTAAATTTATCAAATAATATCCTTTAAATGTCAAATAACATTCTGTTTATAATCGCAAATATATTTAGTGCGTCATTTGCATTTGATGAAAATTCCAAAAACTTCAAAAATGACTTATTTGAGAGATGATACTAAAGCTATCTTATTTCAGTATCAAAGAAACAATATGCATATCATGGATTATATTTTGTTCATACATAGAAAAAAAAAACCAATTTATTTGGCTAGAAGCCCTTTAGACTTCCAAAATTTTATACTGTGGGTGGTTGTGGTTTTTTCAAAGTGCCTCCACTCAAATCCCTCACAAAAACACTGCATAACTGAGCTCTTTGGTATGTGTGCAATTAAACCAGTCCAGTAAGGGTTGAAATATTTGTTCTTAACAAAAGATCTATATTGCATTTAAGTTCAATTAAACCAGTCCAGTAAGGGTTGAAATATTTGTTCTTAACAATAGATCTATATTGAATTTAAGTTCAATTAAACCAGTCCAGTAAGGGTTGAAATATTTGTTCTTAACAATAGATCTATATTGAATTTAAGTTCAATTAAACCAGTCCAGTAAGGGTTGAAATACTTGTTCTTAACAATAGATCTATATTGCATTAAAGTGTAACAATCAAGAACAGCACAAACAAAGAGGAATGAAAAACACTTGAGCAAAATCTTAAAACCAAAAATAAAAAAAAACATTTTCACACAAAAAAATGCATATTCTCGTTTTATATTCTAACAAATGAAAATATTCAAAGAATAGCAAAATAATATGATTATATTTTTCATCAAAAGCTGAAATTATAACAAACAAGAGTTACATTTTTTTACTTTTGACAATATTGAAAAATAAAATGTATGTACAAGATACACGATATTTAATTAACCAATTAAATAAGACTTTCCCACCTGGAACAGCAAAACAAAAAAATCATTTTATCACATACAGATATCTGTTTATTTTCAAATGGGATTTTTTTTTCTTCGGTGGAGTCAATCTTGAAGGGATTATTATAACTTGTCAATCTAGTTCATGTTTACAAATACAATACCAGGTAAACTTAAAAAAAAAATGAAAATAAATATAATCTAAACACATAATTGTCCTATTATTTTCACAACTTTTTTTTGCCTGTTGAACATATTAACCAAAACCACAGGTTTAAAAAAATAAATGTGGATAGTGTCCACATGTGGACACAGATGATGCCCCCGCTTGCATATCATATAATTATAAAGGGACATAACTGAAGAACGGTAAAAGTGACGCTACCCAAATTTGAACTTGATCTGAGTTTTGTGGTAATAAGCATTGTGTGAAAGTCTCATAACATTTGGTTGAGGCTAACTTAAGTAGAGAACAGAAACTAAAAATTCAGCAATTTTTCTATTTGTAAACACGCATAACTCTAGAACGGTTGTGTATAAGTTTTATAACATTTGGTTGAGACAAACTTAAGTTAGAGAACGGAAACGAAAAATTCAGCAATTTTTATGTTTATAAATGGACATAACTCAAGAATGGTAAAAGTGTCGCCACCAAATTTCATACCGTACTTAATCTGCATTATGTAGTAATAAGCATTGTGTATAAGTTTCATAACATTTGGTTTAGGCAAACTAAAGTTAGAAAAAGGAAACAAAAAAATTGTACTTGATCTTAGTTTTGTGGTAATAAATATTGTGTATAGGTTTCATAATGTTTGGTTTGGGCAAACTTAAGTTACAGAATAGAAACTAAAAATTTTGCAATCTTTCTATTTATAAAGGGGCATAACTCAATAATGGTTAAAGTGACACTACCCAAATTCAACTTGATCTGTGTTTTATCAGTGGAAGTCAAAATTAAACATTGCATTGTATAAAGCATTGATTGTAGTTGATAAGACTATAATCATGGACAAAGGAAGATAACTCCAATTTTAAAAATTACTTGATATTGAGAAGACAATAATTTTTTTTGCAATTTTTCCATTTATAAAGAGACATAACTCTAGAACTGTTAAAGTGACGCCACCAAAATTTTGTGGTTATAAGCATTGTGTATAAGTTTTGTAACATTTGGTTGAGGCAAACTTAAGTTAGAGAACGGAAACTAAAAATTTTGCAATTTTTCCATTTATAAAGGGGCATCACTCTAGAACGGTTAAAGTGACACTACCAAAATTCAAACTTGATCTGTGTTTTGTGGTAATAAGCATTGTGTATAAGTTTCATAATATTGGTTGAGGTAAACTCAAGTTAGAAAACGGAAACCAATTTTTTGGACGTACGAACGGACGTACAGACGGACAAGGGTAACACTTAATGCCCCCACTGCTATGGCGGGGGCATATAAAGTTTATCAGAAATGTATTGTACATAAAACTATGTGTGTGTGTATGTATAAGAACTGCTTTCCAAATCTCCTGCTGTCACAAACTTTCAAACTAGTTTAACCGGAATACCTCTAACAAAATTGAAGACCAGTATTTTCAAATTCACCTGAATTATTATTCATAAATAATTTTTTATTCCAATTCAAAATCAAATTCAATTTGAGCACTTACCAGGCCATGTTGTTATTCAATTTACAGGCATAACTACAACTTGAAAAATTCATAACAGGCCACAAACTCTGGAGCCAAACGTGTGATAATATTGAGGAAGGTGACAATATTTGCCAAATATCAGGGAAAATTCTTAAACTGAATTCAAGCATGAATTGCAAATTGCTGAATCTCATTTACTGTGCAATATGTCTAATCTATAATGAATTCTAAGTCAGAGAAACCGAGAGACTGATTAACCGTGTGAAAATACAAAAACAAAAATTTGGAAGGACAATTCAATTATACAGAGAGCCAAAGAAATCATTTTATCAAATTACTTTATCTGAAACTTAACAGAAAAGTAATTTGTTTCGTTAGGTATATTCCTTAATATTACACTTCTGGACATTTCTATGATGTTAAAGTCACTTAGAATAATTGTTGTTACAGACAACATTTATTCAATCAATTTCTGTCTGAGCCAAATATGGCAGAAAGCGCTGTAACTGGAATGTGTCTTTACTGAATTTATTTCAAAAATTTTTAATATATATATGCTTCATTCTGAAGAACCATTGTACTAACTTTAGAAGCAATGATATACCAGCAGGACAAAAACATTATTATAGGATTAACGCCTTTTTAAAGGAATATATTGGTGTAAAAACTGGACCAATTCACTCACAAACAAAATTCTGAAGGATTTTTATGATATGTTTGTGAGTGACTTGGTCCAGTTTATACACCAATAAATTCCTTCAAAAATGTGTTTAATCCTTATAATTCTTTAAAATTGGAGATAAGGAAACTCTATCACATGTAAATTGTATATTTGTTTCATTGAATTCGCCTGGTACATGAATATATTCTTTGGTTAAAACAAAACCATGAACTCAATAAAATTTGCTATTTGAAGTGAAAAAAATAAATTTTAACGTCGAGCTGGTTTGTGTTATTTATTGCCGCCATCTCATTTACATTGGTTACAAATAGTAGTTCCGTCAATGTCGTCTATCGAAATATATATATCTTCAAGAGCTACTACCGGAAACCCTCTCGACTAATCATATAAACGTATTCCCTAATATGCAAATCATACAAGAATTATATAATGATACAAAGTGAACATGTTGAGGTAATATCAAAATACAGTTACATTAACAAGTGCAGACAATATAGAACAAGACATAACTGAGAGCACAAAGTGGTTTAGATGAGAGAATCCAATTTTTGCTTAAACTTTAGAAACATATTACCTTTCTGGAGCACCTTAGATCTCTACCATTTTTATAAACATCTAAGATAAGAATAAAACATTAACCATTCTCTCATTCTTTTATTGCAAAGGTCCAGATGGGTTTCTTCAAATGTTTTACATTGCTAAATTTTGTTAATTATGAGTACTGGATATTTTCTGTAACTATCTTTTTACTTGTTACTCTAAAAAGTCTTTGCTTACCAGACATGTTTAATATTTCATTTTCTATTTATGAAAGTTCATTACCTTTTTTATTGCACTTGAATATTTATAATGCTATTAGGAAAATATTGGGTTATATTGATCAGTTAAATCCTTTTATGTGATCTCCTGACAAAGTCTGGCAAAAGATATAAATTCCAGATTTTGGCATAAATAACAAAAAATAAAATTCCAAATATCTGTGAATCTCATAATTGTTTAAAACTTGTTTTTCACTAGCTAAAACTCAAGAAGACTACACCTATATTCTGGAATAATGATGTAGCTTTCAAATGCTAAAACATGCTATAATATCAAGATAAAATACTGATTGCACATAAAAGATATTACAATATCAGAAATATAAATTTTAAAGAAATATGGGTAAAATTTTTTATCTAAACTGTTGGTAGTGTATTATGATAACTGACACAGTTTGTATACTTGTATAATTTTCAGTAATTAAAGCAATATAAAATAAGGAGATAATGAGACAACTATCTACCGAAAACCAAATGATGTGGATTTAAGCCCCTATAGGTTAACATACTGCCCTAAGCAATATATTTCTTTCATGATGTATCAATTAAAAAAAGACATTGAATTTTTTTTGCATTATCATTTGTATGTTTGAAAGGCCTCTTGATCTTCATAAAAAAAGTTGAGCACAGAATAAATAAACAAAGAATGTGTCCATGGGACACAGATGCCCCACTTGTAAATATACCGCAAATTCAATCATTTTTTTTCATTTATAAAGGGACATAACTTAAGAACCGTGAAAGAGACGGCACCCAAATTCAAAATAGATCTTGGTGGTTTTCAACATTGTGTATAAATTTCATAACATTTGGTAAAGGAAGTCAAGTAAAGGAAATCAATTTGGGATGTAAAAACAGACATACAACTGTAAACCTTAATACCCCCTCCTCCTAGCACCAGGGGCATACTATTAAAATTGTACATGATTTGCTTAGATCGATTAATAACAATTACTGATAACAAATCCAAGATAAGTTTTGTGATGTCTAAAAATTTTTCTAGACTAGGCTGTTTTCTAATTACATACTTGTCTTGTCAAAAAGTGCAGAAATACCGAAAAGTGACCTGTAATTGCTTAAATAGAGAGAACTCACCTGACTTAAATATTATATTAGATATTGTATTATTAAAAAAATTGAATTATTTTTCCATACTTACTTGATATCTATATAAACATGATAAAATAATGAAAGATGACACACCTGATTTTTTTTTAAGTACTATTTAGTAATTGGTTATAATTTTGTTGTGTATTTCTATTAACATACATAAAATACATTCCGTATCAACATTCACAGGCAAAGAAATATATCACACACTTAAAATATATCACAGTGTAGACTGGTAAAACAAAGAATTACAAGTTTACAATCAAAATCATATTTCATTTGGTATAAATATTTAGTGCACATACTTTTTCCTTGGATTTTAAAAACTTAAAACTTTCTAGTCAATGTTCTTTGTGTTCCAGTTTTAAATCAATACTCTTAACATATTGTTTGTAGAAAACAACACAATTTATATTAGTACATGTATATATCACACTTTTAACTTTCATAACAACCTTTACAAATCTTAAAGAAGATATGCTCACAATTTGGTAGGTTGAAACAGTGAACCAACTACTATTTAATGTAAACATGCACTTATAAAATAGCAGATTTAACTTTAGTTTAAACCCTTTAAAAATGGTTAATTTCATGACAACCTTTACAAATCTTATAGAAGACATGCACACACTTTTGCTATTTCAAAACAATGAATCAATAGATTTAATGTAAACTTGCACTTAAAATAACAGCAGATTTTTAATCAACACTATCAACTCTATACATTGTTCAGCATGGTTAAAATTTGTAGCATAATACATTCACATTAATTTCAGACATCTTTCTGTTATTGGGATTTTTCTACTTTGTCCTTCTTTGGTGGGTTTATATATGTATAATATACAACCGGTGCTGCACTTACTACATGGACAATGAAGTATTGTGACCTAAATAAAAATATAAATAATTCAGAACACATTCTAAAGTATAAAAATTGATGCAGTAAGCTAAAAATATACATTCATTACAAATGGTTCTATCCTTTGCCACTTCCATGTAAAATCTTGCTTTGACCAAAATTATTTAATCTGCAAAAGTCAACAAATATGGACTTTAGTATTTGCCAGTTCTAAAATGTTTTAAGCATAATATATAGCGTAAAATGAAAGATTTACTAACATCTTCAACGAAAGTTGAAACTAGCCTTAGAAACTTGAGATTAATTTAGCCTTATGCATACAAAGTTTTGATAATAGAGGCTTATTGATCTGCTTTCCCCTTATCCAATGCAAAATAAAAATATAATCATTTTGTATGTTAAATTTTATAGAAATAAACAATTTTTATCTACATGATTTTACTAAGGTGAGATTTTTTTTTATAAAATTAGCTTCTGATTCAAATTCCTGATTTGCAATTTAACAACTATATGTTCTAATTAAGTAAAAAGTAAGATACCAAATACAGTGCTCAAAGAATGTTTCTGTTTTTTTTAGAATTTTTTTTTAAAGTATCTTTTAAAAGTTTTTTTTATGCTAAATAAGTATCATGTATGTACATGTGCCTATCAGAAGCAAGGATTCTCATTAGTGTAATATTGATATATCAAATACCAATTTTTCTATGTTGTGTAATGACCAACAACAATAGCTAACTTTTAAACCTAGCTATTGATCAAGGAACTTTTTTCTGAAGAAAAAAAAAATAAAAACTAACAGGAGAACTTGATAACCTGCAATTTTCTACACAATTAGCATTTGTCAATGACAGTATGTCTGTACATTGTCTTTGAAATAAAGCTTTGAAATCATACATATTAGTTATCAAATCACTAAAACGACACAGGAGATGGACTTTAATTTTGTTGCTTACTCATTGTTTCAGACCAGGCTCCTTGTCTATAAATATAAAGAACAGCAATACTGGTGCTACGGTAATTTCCTATTACAAGTCACTGAATAATTTCATGTATATCCACTCAAGATCATCATAGATAGAAACTACACATGACATTCAATGAAACGTAATTTACCTACCAGTATAATCTAAGATTTGGCATAAACTCTAATAAACAGTGTGGAGCACATAGATAAACATTAGCAAATCTGGTTCCTATGAATGTTATCACTTCATAAATCTGTTTTAATGTCTCATCTGTTTGAAATTTTGGTCGTATATTTCTTCTGATCTGTGAAAAAAAAAATTAGCTTAATTCTGAATTAGATGCATAAAATATATGTTTTCTAGTATAACCTTCATCATGGCCCAGATATTTCAGAAACTAAAAATCTTTATCTAGAGAACCAGGCTTAGAGGAACTCTTTAATGAGGCAACAATTGTCCTGTCATACTTAAATAATGATTCATATACCATTGTTTAAATCTAATTTCAATTCCTATTCACTTTATACCATAATGCCAAGCTATGAATGAAAATTGAATTGAACCTTCTTTTTAATAACAATAAGACCCTGTCTTCAAAATTGTGACTACTGTAAGTTCAGAAATTTTTGCAGGCATTTATTATTGTGCTTGTTGATCATTGAACAAAATGTGAGATAACTTATTATTGCATATTTCAGGAAATTCGGCATACACATAATAATAATCAAATTTAAAATGCAAATTATTTGTTGCTATCCTGTTGTAAGTTTCAAAATATTAAATAATTGCAAAAATTGCCGATTCACAGAAATTGTGGCAATTCTTGGTGATTAAAGGACAAAGCTTATTAAGAGGTTCATCTACATCAAATGACAGAGAACACAAAAAGCCAATTATAGCTTGGTGCAGAAAACTAATATTCAGAAGAAAATAAGAGAAATATTTATCTTGCTTCTATTGATTGGTATCCAATTTCTGATTCCCACCCTTCATACCATGTTTTTTTTTTCAAATGTAATATATTAAAATAGCCAATGAACAAACGTAACTTCCATAAGACCTTTGGTCTGACATGGTCACTCAACAAAATGTTTAAGATGTATTTCTCTCTATTCAAATCTATAAAACTTACTAGTCTCCCTGCTGTTATGACAAATGCTGCAGACAAAAATGTGATGTAATATCCTGGATAAAAACCATGCCACAGAGAAGTAACTAGAAATACAGGCCATACGCCATACTTCCTAGGTACTCTATCATAGACACAGCGACGTAACCATAAGGCTGTTCTTATATTCCAACTATCTATATTCACTTTCATACTAGTGCAAGTCTGAAACAGAGAGAGAAGTATTTCCTAAGCACTTGCTAACGCTAAAATATCTTTTGACACGAGTTACCTCAACTTTCTTATTTCCAAAGATTAGAATTGCCAAGGTTTTAAAACTAAAAAATTATTCATTATTGCTGTCATGTTTTCTAATGTCAAAAAGCTGTACCAATACATAATTGTACTATTACTTTTTAAATTATTAAATTATAAATTCATACTGACTCATTACAGATTTACAATGATAAATTCAATCATTTCACTAATTATTGTACAGTGAAACCTGTCCAAACCAACTCCTTCTAGAATGAATATGTTTTTGTTGGATAAGACAGTTGCTCAGTTTACACTGGTTATTTTTCTAAAGATAAATATAACTTCTTCATGTTCTTTAAGGAAATTATTTGATAATCAAAAATTCTTTATTTTGGCATAGAGTTGAAATAAATCATTTTGAGAAAAGCATTCCATTGCCTGAGTCAGTACAGCTGTTGTTAATAGCGTGCAGTTCAACCATTGGCATGTGTTTGACCTGTCAATCAATAGTATGTTCATGCAAGTAGTAAGAGCTTAGCCCAATAGTTGTCTGTATCCTCACAGCACTTCTGAAAGATATACTTGCAGGATAACAAAGGAACACTGAGTCTTATTGCTGCTGTCCGTATAAAAGTGTGATGTTCACTGCCAAAATCTGAGTGCATTTATCAATAAAATACAGAAAAAATCAAAAATTCCATTTACCAAAAAATTTAATCTAATTTGCAGGAGAAATCTTTTAATCATAATCGCCACAATATAGCCTTTTTTACTAAAGTAAGTTAAAGCAAACATCAATCAATGAATCTTCTGGGAAGTTAAATAAAATTCAATGAAGTTTTGACAAAGTTACCGATGTCTAAAAACACTTGAGTCCCAGACTGTATCAGTTAAATACGGAAAAAACGTTTTTGCTCTGGAAATGTCTTTTGATCATATAAAAGCTGCTGTCTAAGTTTTACAATTCCAAGAAGTCTGACAAAGTTATTTATGCTTAAATTTTTTTTAACCCTAGACTTAACGTAAATGATGACATTGCTGCAGACGACTGAATGTAGGATTGCTATGTCCCACTTCAGCAACAAAATGTTGCAGGCTAGACAAAAACTGTCAAGAACTGTAGTGGTTCTCTTTTGCTATGATACAAGTCAAGGTCATGAAAGTGGGGTTAAACACCAGCAAACAATAAATATAAAGATGTTGAAATTAAGTTTTCTCAAGTGGAACTTCAGCAAATCTAAAATATAGCTCACTGAAGCAAAGTAACTGTTCAACTTCAGTAATATTGATTTCAATACTGACCAATGATAGAATTGATTAACAAATGAAGGGTTTTAGGTGTAACTTGTACAATATTCCTACCTCTAATGTCCATATATTAACATTATTTAGTAAATCCCATTTTAGTTCACCATTACTGTCATAACCATTAAATCCTAACCCTGCAACATTATTTACTGCTTCACCTAAAATGTTACAATGTCATATAAAATATATTACAATGTCATATAAAATATATTACAATGTCATATAAACTATATTACAATGTCATAAAATGTTACAATGTCATATCAACAATATTACAATGTCATATAAAATGTTACAATGTCATAAGTGAGTGCTGGTGAATATGGGTATTTCACTATAAAATCTCTTTCTGTATATTCAACCAGAACTGATCAATGTGACAATGCCATATGTAAGATATTAATATATAATCAAAATTTTAATATAATTTTTCTAGAGGTTATTGATGTATAAACTGGGGTGATTAACTCACAAACTGCGGAGTTATATATTTTTAGTTTGTGAGTCAGTGGTCCAGTTAACACATCAATAATCTCTAGAAAAATTGTTTTTAATCCTGATAATTCTCAACCCAAACATTTGCTATTCTATTCTTTCAATTTCATCTTTCTTGGAACCTCATGCTTTCATTCATGAGTATAGCCCATGTATATATCACAGTGATTATAGACAATCACATTGATGTATTTGTAAATCATATAAAATACCATATAAGATGGAACAATATCCTACATAGGAACATTGTTAAATTTTCAACTCATATTATATATGATTATATTTTTTCTGATGTCATTTTTTAGCTCAAAATATAAGCTGTTCCTACTTACAAAGATAAATTACTGTCCATTACAATCATTCTTAATTATTCATATAATGGAAAGATAAATTAAGATCTATTTCTTTATTCCCCATGAAAGAGAGGGAAAAGATTGTTTAAATAAGAAGAGTGAACTATAGCTATAATAAACAAAAACTGTAAACAACACTTATGATCAGCAATAAATGATCTTCAAGTAAGTCAATGAGTTGAAATGGTCAAATTACTCTGGAGCCTCTAGATCAAGTGCATAACACTTATGAAAAGGATGGATATGTATTATGATTCATCATGGCCTTATAATATGATTTCTGTGAACAACACCTTATTTCCCTTTAGTTTTGTATATACTCACTTAATAAGAAAGCTGTGTAGTATTTACTTCTAATCATAGTCACAGATACTAACATATAAAGCATACGATATATAAATGTAGACTCATATAGATATTCATCAGCTGAAAATAAACACAAAAATCAGTATTAGTTATAACATAAGTTCTAAAAATAATATTTATACTGTAATTGTTCTGTTTGTCAACATGCGTTGACTATATATAATTTCTATGATAAACAGTCACAGATCGTATACCAGCTTAAGCAATTCCTACCTCTTTACAATTCATAATGAAATGTAAAGACTTCCGCAAGTTAGGCGCAAGCATAAACTTGTTTCTCCTATAAAAATTGAACACAAAGTTTTGTTCTTGTTTGTACTTGTTGATAAATTAGTATGATTTTTTTTTGGTTCTTTCGCTCTTGTTTATTTTTCATTCTGTGATCAATTGAATCCTTGACCTTCTGGACTTATTTGAACAACAAATTTTATTCTGTAATAATTTTTACTCCACCAAATTAAGAGGCATTTTTAATTGTCAACCTGTAAAAGCAGTTTGAAAATGATTTTCAAGACCAATATGATAAGAGAAATTCCTTTTTGTTTCAAAGACTTATCCTTAAGTTGTTGTGACATGCATTTGTTCACATCTTCATCATTTGGACTTTACGGATAGTGGCATATTGGGAATCATGCCACATCTCCATACCTTTATAGTATCAATTTTGGTTTTAAGTCTCTCATTCAATACTTTTCAGAGATTTATAGAATAATCTTAAGCAATAAGTTAAGGACTTCTTTTATTGTTTCATGCAAGATTGAAATTTGTACTATGAACTATGTATTTAGAGGGATGGGCTTCACTTTTTCTGATGACACACATAAAGCTTGTGACTGAAACCCAGACATAAATAAACCAGCTATTATCAGTGTTCTAACAAGGTTGGACTGGCTGATTACAGACTTATGATCACGTCATGTCATCCAAAAGAGGGATTTCAAAAGGACACAAGAAGTGATCCATAGTTTTGCAGGCTGCACAAAGTTAATGCAAATAAAATGACAAAAACTCAGTAAAATTTTATTTTTATACTATTTGCCAAACTTTGCATTTGATTGATAGAACTTTCTTCACTTTAAGTCCAATGGCAATTTTGCATTCAGTAAAGTAAAATATAATAAAAGAAGATAGTTCCCCATGTTGCACATATTTTATATATCCAAGGGCAATAATTAAAAAAAAATGTGGATAGATGATGCCCCCGCTTGCATAGCATATAGTTATAAAGGGACATAACTGAAGAACGGTAAAAGTGACGCTACCCAAATTTGAACTTGATCTAAGTTTTGTGGTAATAAGCATTGTGTGGAAGTCTCATAACATTTGGTTGAGGCAAATTTAAGTTGGAGAAAGGAAACTAAATATTTTGCAATTTTTCCATTTATAAAGGGGCATAACTCTATAACGGTTTAAGTGATGCCACCAAAATTCAAACTTGATCTGTGTTTTGTGGTAATAAGCATTGTGTTTAAGTTTCATAACATTTGGTTGAGGCAAACTTAAGTTAGAGAACGGAAACTAAATATTTTGCAATTTTTCCATTTATAAAGGGGCATAACTCTATAACGGTTTAAGTGATGCCACCAAAATTCAGACTTGATCTGTGTTTTGTGGTAATAAGCATTGTGTATAAGTTTCATAACATTTAGTTGAGGCAAACTTAAGTTAGAGAACGGAAACTAAATATTTTGCAATTTTTCCATTTATAAAGGGGCATAACTCTAGAACGGTGTAAGTGACGCCACCAAAATTCATACTTGATCTGTGTTTTGTAGTAATAAGCATTGTGTATAAGTTTCATAACATTTGGTTGAGGCAAACTTAAGTTAGAGAATGGAAACTAAATATTTTGCAATTTTTCCATTTATAAAGGGGCATAACTCTAAAACGGTTTAAGTGATGCCACCAAAATTCAAACTTGATCTGTTGTTTGTGGTAATAAGCATTGTGTATAAATTCCATAACATTTGGTTGAGGCAAACTTAAGTTAGAGAACGGAAACCAATTTTGGGACGTACGTACGTACATACAGACGGACAAGGGTAAAACTTAATGCCCCCACCGCTATGGCGGGGGCATAAAAACTTTTTTTTGTTCATTAAAACTTTTTACAAATATCTTAGAGAAATGAAGGCTTGAGAGCAAATTAAATGCAATTTCCAATATAATTAATATTTCCAAGGGGCATAACTCTTTTAGAAATAATTTATTGGCACTCACTTGTCCGAGACATTGCTGTTATAAACCTATGATCTAAGTTTTATAAAAATGTGGCAAGAATTGTACACCTGAGAGCGCTAACAAGACTGGACGGAAAGACGCATGCATGGACGGACACCAGTATTTCTATGTCCCCTGCAACGCGTCGCACGGGTGACAAATAAAAACAATTGGAGATTTATGGTTCTGCAATAATTGATACAGGTATTTATTATGCCAACCATTTTAACTCAGACAATATACCATGCATACACATACCATACTGTCTCCCTCAATCAGATATGATCAAGTAATCTTAGCATGTATAACTTACTAAACATGTAGTCATAAGGTACAATCTTTGGCGTCACAACCATTAGAACACTGAAAATAGCAGCTTGTATACACTTCTTAATCACAGCATCCTTCAAAATAAAATAAATAAATGTGGATTGTGTCCACATGTGGACACAGATGATGCCCCCGCTTGCATATCATATAGTTATAAAGGGACATAACTGAAGAACAGTAAAAGTGACGCTACCCAAATTTGAACTTGATCTGAGTTTTGTGGTAATAAGCATTGTGTGTAAGTCTCATAACATTTGGTTGAGGCTAACTTAAACGAAAAATTCAGCAATTTTTATGTTTATAAAGGGACATAACTCAAGAATGGTAAAAGTGACGCCACCAAATTTCGTACTTAATCTGTATTATGTAGTAATAAGCATTGTGTATAAGTTTCATAACATTTGGTTGAGGCAAACTAAAGTTAGAGAACAGAAACAAAATAAACTGCTTCTCTGAGCGCAGCTGGATACGCCCGCAGAGGTCCAACCCTGAACAGTTGGGGCAAAAATGGACACAATATTCAAGCTTGATACAGGTCTGAATTTGGATTGTAATTAACTATTTGACATATTATAGGTTTCTGAATAAATGTAGTCAAAGAACTTGAAATTGGTTATATGAATTGAATTTATATTCAATTCAAGATTTCTTGCTGTTGTGCAATACACTATGCTGTTGCGCAATACTTAGTAAATCTGTTGTCAGACTATAAACAAATAAAATTTATAAAATTCTAAAGGGAGTTTACATCAATAGATATAAACAATTCACCAAAGTTTCATAAGAATTGCTGAAAGCATTTTTGAGTTATTGTCTGAAAACTGATAAATCCCCCCTTTTTTAATGAATAAAACCCCATAACTCAGAAATGTAAAATCTAAAATTTATAAAATTCTAAAGGGAGCTTACATCAATAGATATCAACAATTCATCAAAGTTTCATGAGAACTGCTGAAAGCATTTTTGGAATTATTGTCCGAAAACTGGAAAATCACCTTTTTTTTATGAATAAAACCCCGTAACTTGGAAACGTAAAATCTAAAATTTATTAAATTCTAAAGGGAGCTTACATCAATAGATATCAACAATTCATCAAAGTTTCTTGCAAGTTGGTGAAAGCATTCTTGAGTTATTGTCCTAAAACTGGAATATCCCCCTTTTTTTAATGAATAAAACCCCATAACTCGGAAACGTATCATCTAAAATTTATAAAAAATGAAAGAGAGCTCATGTCAATAGATATAAACAATTCACAAAAGTTTTAGGCAAATTGGTTAAAGCATTTTTGAGTTAATGTCCGTCATGTTGACGACGGACGGACAGACGGACAACGGTATACCATAATACGTCCCGTAAACGGGCGTATAAAAATTGAACATTATCTTAGTTTTGAGGTAATGAATATTGTGTATAGGTTTCATAATGTTTAGTTGGGGCAAACTTAAGTTACAGAATGGAAACTAAAAATTTTGCAATCTTTCGATTTATAAAGAGGCATAACTCAATAATGGTTAAAGTGACACTACCCAAATTCAACTTGATCTGTGTTTTATCAGTGGAAGGCAAAATTAAACATTGCATTGTATAAAGCATTGATTGTAGTTGATTCAACTATAATCATGGACAAAGGAAGATAACTCCAATTTTAAAAATTACTTGAATAATGACATTGATATTTTTAGAAATTACATTTAGTTAAGACAAACTCAAGTAAGAGAACGGAAACGAAAAATTCAGCATTTTTTTCTTTTGTAAAGGGGCATAACCCTAGAACGGTAATCAAAGTGCTTGTAAGCACTGAACGGTAAAGATTGCTTTAATTTATCAGTAGGAAGTAAAATTGAATATTGCATTGTATAAAGCATTGGTTGTAGTTGATTCAACTACCATTATAAACAAAGAAAGATAACTTCAATTTTCAAAGAAGACTTTAAAATATTTTTAGAAATGAAGGGTAAAAATTGCTTTAAATTATCAGTGGAAGGCAAAATAAAACATTGCATTGTATAAAGCATTGATTGTAGTTGATTCAACTATAATCATGGACAAATGAAGATAACTCCAATTTTAAAAATGACTTGATATTTGGAAAAATATAGAAGAAAAATTTAACAATTTTTCCATTTATGAAGGGCATAACTCTAGAGTGACGGCACCAAAATTCAAACTTGATCTGTATATTGTGGTCATAAGCATTGTGTATAAGTTTCATAACATTTGGTTGAGGCAAACTAAAGTTAGAGAACGGAAACAAACTTTGGGACGTACATACTGACGGACGGACAAGGGTTAAACTTAATGCCCCCTCCGCTATGGTGGGGGCATACAAAAATCATTGGTAATCTTCAGTCAAGGTACAACACTTTCTCCGATTAGTTTATATTAAAACTGTTGACACCAAGATATGTCGTCTGCTTTGCAGCAGAATAAAAATCAGTTTTTAGAAAAACAGGGTTGCTCAGGGTTTCACCAATTTTATCAATTGGGATTTCAGAATCATCTGGCAATATATCTGGGACAGATAAAAAAAAATATAAAGGAGTCTAAGAAAGTGGGGGTTGACAAAAATTCTGATGCTTGGAATTTTTCTACTGACATTTTTTTGATGGTCAGCACAGCCCCATTCATAGACATATTACTGCATGTCAATTGGGGTGCATTTATGTACATGGAAATCTTATATGATCATTAACTCTTAAAATTCTGATTAAAAACTAAAATGAAGATGCAACAGAAAACAAAATATCAATAGTCTAATACTACTTGAACACCTAATCTTAAAACTAAATACTTACACAATATGAAAATTCCAAAATAAACTGACGTATCACTTATGGGACAGTAACTCATTTTCTTCTCAAAAGTTAAAAGGGATTCTAATGATACTGCATATTAAGGCAACGTATTTGTAATTTAGCGATATTTCATATAAAATCAAATAAATGGAGAATGTGTCCATGGGACACAGAAGATGCCCCTGCTTGCATATGTTATAAAGGGACATAACTCGAGAACGGTAATATTGACGGCACCAAAATTCAAACTTGATCTGTGTTTTATGGTAATAATATTTCATATAATAAGCATTGTGTATAAGATTCATAACATTTGGTTGAGGCAAACTAAAGTTAGAGAACAGAAACTAATTTTGGGAAGTACGTATGGCAGGGGCATAAAAATTGCATGCTTCTAGAACTTATATATATCATTATTTCATTGCAAGATATATTTCAACAACTTAAATGCAAAAAAAATTCCCAATTAAATCTATAATGCCACCCAATAACATATTCTCTGCCTTAAATATTTTTCTATTGGATTTTAAACTGTTGTAAAAAAATACAACCACCAATCAAATTGTAGTTAATGTGCCTCCCCCTTTAATAATTATACAGCCTTATCCAAAAACCTTCCCATTTGAAAGTAAACTAGAGTAACCTAGTTTACCTGGACAATGACCTTGACTGAGAAGAATCTGCATACAGGTTTAAATGATCCTAATACTTTAAGTATCCCATATATCGATTAAATGTCAATGCATTATATTTTGCCTTGTTTCATTATCAAAAGTCCCTTAAGGTAGCTGGTGTGTCTTCCTCCATCTTTGATTTTGAAATAGCAGATAACAATCGGTCTATATCTTAAATGAAATGTGCAAATTTCGAATAGTATGTAATTCATGTGTAAGACTTTTCGTGTAATATATAGATAAAATGCTCCGCTGGGGCGCAGCTTGATACGACCGCAGAGGTCTAACCCTGAACAGTTGGGGCAAGTATGGACACAACATTACAGCTTGATACAGCACTGAATTTGGATTGTGATTAAATATTTGACACAGCATAGGTTTCTGACACAGAATGAAAGTGGTCTAAGAACTTAAAAAAATTTTAATTTACCTATTCAAACCATTTCATTATTATTTGCTTTTATATATAAATCAGAAATAACCAATTTAAAATGGAAAATTTAAAAAAAAAAAGGAAAATAAAATCCCCCCCCAAAATTTTTTGAACCCCATTATGATTCATCACCCCCAAACTCAATCCCAGCCTTCCCTTTGTGGTATGGTACCTTGCAGTACAATTTCAGAGAGATCCATACACTTGAACACAAGTTATTGTCTGGAAACTAGAAAAATGCTTGTTTTTCTGACCCTTTTTGGCCCCAAATTCCTAAACGTTTAGGGCAATTACCCCCAAACTCAAACCCAGCTTTCCCTTTGTTATATGGAACCTTGCAGTACAATTTCATAAAGATCCATACACTTACACACAAGTTATTGTCCTGAAACTAGAAAAATGCTTGTTTTTTTGCCCTTTTATGGCCCCTAATTCCTAAAATTTTTAGGGAATTACCCCCAAAATCAATCCCAGCCTTCCCTTTGTGGTATGGTACCTTGCAGTACAATTTCAGAGAGATCCATACACTTGAACGCAAGTTATTGTCTGGAAACTAGAAAAATGCTTATTTTTAGCCCCTTATTCCTAAGCTTTTTGGTCAATTACCCCCAAACTCAATTCCAGCTTTCCCTTTGTGATATGGAACTTTGCAGTACAATTTCATAAAGATTCATACACTTACACACAAGTTATTGTCATGAAACTAGAAAAATGCTTGTTTTTTGCCCCTTTTTGGCCCCTTATTCCTAAAATTTGGGGGCAATTACCCCCAAAATCAATCCCAGCATTCCCTTTGTGATATGGAACTTTGTGGTACAATGTCAGAGAGATCCATACACTTACACACAAGTTATGATGGAAGTTACAAAAATGCTTATTTTTGGCCCCTTTTTGGCCCCTAATTCCTAAAATTTTTAGGGAATTAAAGAACCTTAGTGAGCGCGCTCACATACCCCAAGTCCCCACATTGTCATTGGAGAAATAAAATAAGTGTAAGAAAAAAAAATTGTATCAGAATTTTGAATCATAATTTCCTGTCAATATGCACATCTACATAGTATGTCCTTATCATCTACACAGTTTCATGAAATTCTGTTGTGTGGTTTAAGAGGAGTTGTGATGACAAAAGGTTGCAGTAGTATATTGGGCAAATAAGTTCAAAGGGGCGTAACTCCTGGAAAAAAAATTGAATCGTAATTTCCTGTCGATATGCACATCTACGTAGTATGTCCTTATTATCTGAAAAGGTTTCATGAAATTCTGTTGTGTGGTTTAAGAGGAGTTGTGATGACAAAAGGTTGCAGTAGTATATTGGGCAAATAAGTTCAAAGGGGTGTAACTCCTGGAAAAAAAATTGAATCGTAATTTCCTGTCGATATGCACATATACGTAGTATGTCCTTATTATCTGAAAAGGTTTCATGAAATTCTGTTGTGTGGTTTGAGAGGAGTTGCGATGACAAAAGGTTGCAGTAGTATATTGGGCAATTAAGTTCAAAGGGGTGTAACTCCTGGAAAAAAAATTGAATCATAATTTCCTGTCGATATGCACATCTACGTAGTATGTCCTTATTATCTGAAAAGGTTTCATGAAATTCTGTTGTGTGGTTTGAGAGGAGTTGCGATGACAAACTGTTGCTGTAGTACATTAAAGTAAATAAGTTCAAAGGGGCGTAACTCCTAGAAAAAGAATTGAATCGTAATTTCCTGTCGATATGCACAACTACATAGTATGTCCTTATTATCTAAAAAGGTTTCGTGAAATTCTGTTGTGTGGTTTGAGAGGAGTTGAGATGACAAGAAACAGGACTGACGGACGGACAGACGGACGGACCAAAAACATTATACCCTCCGCAACTCTTGCGTGGGGTATATTACCCCCAAAATCAATCCCAGCCTTCCCTTTGTGGTATGGTACCTTGCAGTACAATTTCAGAGAGATCCATACACTTGAACACAAGTTATTGTCATGAAAGTAGAAAAATGCTTGTTTTTTGCCCCTTTTTGGCCCCTTATTCCTAAAATTTGGAGGCAATTACCCCCAAAATCAATCCCAGCATTCCCTTTGTGATATGGAACATTGTGGTACAATGTCAGAGAGATCCATACACTTACACACAAGTTATGATGGAAGTTACAAAAATGCTTATTTTTGGCCTCTTTTTGGCCTCTAATTCCTTAACTGTTGATACCATAACCCCCAAAATCAATCCCCACCTTCTTTTTGTGGAATTGAACCTTATGGTAAAATTTCATTGAGATCCATTCACTTACACTAAAGTTAGAGTGCGAAAACTAATGTGTCTTCGGACGACGATGACGCCAACGTCATACCAATATACGACCACAAAAATTTTTTTGCGGTCGTATAAAAATTATGTGTTTTATCATATTTACGGCTGTGTTTTACAAAAAACAGAATATTGTTGTTTGATTCATTTTTTCAACTTTGCCAAATAAGGGGAGATAACTCAGATAAAGTAACTTTTATAATAGAATGTGTTGTGAATTTACCTATTTTATTATGTAGCAAGAAAACAAGTCTGGTGACCCCATTTTTTCTTTTCTTATCTGACATGTCTGAAAGCATATTATTAGAGCTATCTTCTCATATTTTATCTTACAATTCTATGGTGTAGTTTTCTTTTTATCACACAAAATTGTGTTTTCCATGCATAATCTATATAAAATATGACAATTTTGCACAACCTGTGGCTTGAAAAAAAGGCCGGTGACCCATACTTTTTATTATATTTTTGAAAAAAGCATGATATGAACTACATTTTGACAAATTATTAAAAAATTCTATGGATATTAATGAAGACCCCTTATCCACCTTAAGCATAAAAAACATGTTGTGTTGATCTTTTTTATCTGGATGCTTTCTAGTCACCATATCTATATACATTGGTCTGATTATATGAATATGGATGCATACTCTAACCTGGAATCCAAAAGTACTCAAACATCCAATCTCATCTTTCTGAGATGAAGTAAATAATATTTTTAGAGGTTATTCCACTTAGACATACCCCTACAAGAGTGGGCATGTAAATCATGTCATGTCTGTCCATTTCTAAAGTTTGACTTTATAACAGAAATCTATTTGACCTTGTACGTTACTTTTTATTTGAAAACTAAGTTTCTGTTATGGTTTCAATTAAAAATGTCCTGCTTTCTACCAGTATAGTTCACAGATTCTTCTACATTTGTTAATATGGAGAGAAGTGTACGTGTATTTCAATGTTCATTCCAGATGCCTTACCTTTGGAGATGGAGACTCAACATCATCTTTTGTTCCCTGGAGAAAAAAAAAAAACTTTTAGTTACTGATTGAATGTCAAAAGTACAAGCATATGGCCAATCACATCTTTGGTATAATATTATCATGATTATACTCTATTATCTTGTCTCATAATCATGAATTTACCCTTTATCATTTAAAACGTCTCCAACCTCTTTTAAGGCTCTTTAGGTACATGTATCTCCTTGTGAGTTTAATACAACCTGGATTCATATTTGTATTACATCAACATTTCTAGTTCTGCATAAGGTTAAAACATTACTCACTATACATGAATAAAATCACTAAATCATGGCCTTTTTACTTCCTATGTTAAATTCTGCAATTTCCAGCATTCATAGCCATATTGTCTTAAGTTTAATTAAAGTGGTTCTATACTTACAAAAATATCCATCCAATTAGATTTTTATCAGCTTTTCTGCTCTATTTTCATATTTATTTATTTTTTTAGCTGGATGGCTGGTGCATATTCAAATTTCCTACTTCTCATTTTACTCTCTTATCGCTAATATCAATGAATATCAAATCTTTTGATATGTTTTGGAAATTTTTTTTTTTTATTGCAACCTTGCATAATAACTTGATGCACAAATAAAAATGAATATATGTTTGAATCCTTAAACAGAAAAATATGCATACTACCATAAAGAAATGTAGGGTATATGAATCTGGCAGCACCCCAACAAAATAAAAACAACTAAAGACTTCTAGAGGTCACTTATCGGGAACACCAAAAGCGACTGCTCATGAGAGGCGACCTTTTAAAAAATGTTCTGAAACGTTTCTGATTCCGATATCGCCTATGGCTGGGATCCCTGCAAATTGTTTTAGTGTTTTCAATTCGTAGAATTCTTGCTCTTGCAAGCAGTGAAATAAATAAACTGTTGACACAGAGATATGTCTCACCTGTCTGCAGAAAATTTGAAAAAAGACAATCTGATGGACAGCAATTTTCAACATTGCAACAATTCAAAGTCGCTGAACAAGACCTAGGGGCAGGGCCTTGAAATAATCATCAAACTGATTTGTACTGATAGTACTGCAATTTTATAGAAAATATCATTGATCAATCACAAGTAGTTCCTATCAAACACTGACTTAAGCAGAAAACTTAACATTGAAAATTGCTAATTAATTCAAAGTCGCTAAACCATGACCCAGGGGCCAGGGCCTCGAAATAGTCGTCAAACTGATATGTCATGTATGTACTGATAGTAATGCAACTTCAAACTAAATATCAATGGTCTATCACAAGTAGTTCCTATCAAACTAACTTAAGCAGAAAAAATTAAAGAAACTTTGTGATCATGCTCACAAACCCGCACCCACATTGTCACTGGGCAAACAAAATATCACCAGATTCCTAAGTTCAAAGACTCATAACTCCTACAAAAGTCAACTGATAAAAACTTCTTGTGGATATGCACATCTACCTATTATGTCCTTATTATCTACAAAGTTTCATGAAATTCTGTTGTGTAGTGACAGAGGAGTTGCAATGACAAACTCTTTCAGTAGTATATTTTGGCAAAAATTGTAAGTTCAAAGGGGCACAACTCCTAGAATAAAAATCAAATCTTAATTTCCTGTCTACATAATATGTCCGAACTATCTACAAAGTTTCATGAAATTCTGTTGTGCAGTGTCAGAGGAGTTGAGATGGCAATAATGGGACTGACAGACAGACAACCAGACCGACGGAAGGATGGGTCAAAAACATTAAACCCTATGGAACATCGTTGTATCACAAGTAGTTCAAAAATGTAGTTCCTAAGTAACTTAAGCAGAAAAATTAACAATTGTTGACAACTAGGATGACGTCGTCTCTATGTCTCGCTTTCCCAACTTTCTTCACAGGTGAGACAAATATTGCGGATCCAGCATTGTTTATTTGAAGAAAACATTTGAAATATGCTAATATTCATGGAGTGGTATGTGGGCGATACAGTTTTCAATGATAACTGAAAGGATTTGAACAGGAGGAATTCATTAATTCACCTCCTAGTCTGAATAGGAAATCTGGATTGCAAACGGGTTCTGATTCTCATCTTGACTTTGAGTAATACATTTATTTTCCTCATGATCAAATTGGTAGTTAAAACATTAAAATGACTATTTGGTGCCAAATATGGGTGGGTCTGAAAGTGAGAGTTAGACATGTTAGAGGCAAATGAATGTGAATGTGAATCTAGGGAACTGTTAAGGCAAGTTTAAGTGTAATAAGGCATATAAATTCATGATACAAAATCCTGAATGAAGTTGATAAACTTCAAAAGAACAACACTCTTTTGCTGTAATTCATCTCAAAATCCCAGTGAGGTCTTAAAACTTGTAAATTTGAAATGGCTTAATTAGAGTCATTTATTTTATTTGTATATTGCTACATTTCAATTCATGTTTTGTTGTTACCACACATACTTACATTTGAAACTTTGGATGGATTTGGCTTATCATAATTTGTTCCATCTATAAAGTCTCGATACTCAGAGAAGAAGACAAGAGGTCCTATCATAAATCCATGAAAACAAAATATATAACTGTAGAATGTCACAGGCTGAGGTAATTCTCTGAAATTATGAAAAAGACATTAATCACCCTAGATGATGCATAGTAAAAAATATATGCAATAATTGTTAACAGAATGAATGTTAACTCACATAGTTTTAACTATGTTACTGTAACTTGTTACACAAGTCTTTAACATATATGTAAACAAAAACAACACAACATTTTGAATTGTGTGAGTACAGTTAACAAAACAGTCTCAAATTTTCGTATTTGTAAAGACTAATGTTAGCAACTGAACAAGTTTCTTGGATTATTGTAAACAATCGCCTCTTACATGTGAGATAATCATATGACAGTGAACAACAGTTTGAGAACATTGCCAAAATGAGAACAAAAAAACCTTTTATCCCTATTGCAGTCAGGGGACTTACTTAAATGAGTGATTTTCTAAATCACTGATTCAAGTAACATTATGTCCATAAAGGTTGGAAGTAAGAGTTGTCTTTCTTTAATAATCACCTATTTAAGTAGTACAAATTAATCACTAAACTAAGTGATTTAATTTTATTGTAGCTTTAAATATAGAATACTAATGATCCAGGGACTAATTATGTTGCTAAAATTATCAGAACCAACATCTGTGTTGATAGGATGACCGGGTCATGCCAGGTGATGACCTTGTACTAAATCTAGGATAATGACATGAAAAACACTTATTTAAGTATCATACCTTAATTACCTTCCAAAAAATCACTTCTTTAAGTATCATTATTTTAATAACCCCCACTAATTTCAACACCCCCGAACAGTGAAATTTTGATCGCGAACAGTAGAATTTTATTACATAATCTATAAGATGAAACCTTGAATTTTACAGAAAAAATAATCCCACTGCTGGGAAAAATCTGTTAAGAAAGTATCAGTTCATTATGTAAAGCCATTTTTATAGCATTTTTTCAACTAAAATAGAATATGCAGCTAAATGATTGTATCAAAGGCATAAACCTTGCTGCTTAAAAGAAGCAAAAAGTTCATTTTTTTCAATTTTACTAATGAAAAAATATTATCTAAACATATGTGTTTCAAATTTTGGTAAAACTACAAAATCACAATTTGTGACAAAACTTCAAATTTGCTACTTAAATAAGTGATTTGAAAATCACTTATTTCAATAAGTCCCCTGACTGATTGTCTTCTCACAAAATAAAGATGTAACCAATTTTTACCATGTAAAAATCTACTATTAAAGCATTTAAACATCCTTGGCTTTCAAAGTTTTTGAGTTTGAGCAATCCAGATGACGGTAAATTTTTGGAAATGTTTTCATACAGTATTGTACAATATATGTTGTGCTGTTACACCACTATCAAAGGTTAAGTGCCACAAACATGTTTAACCCTGCCACAGTCTGTATGTGCCTGTCCCAAGTCAGGGGCCTGTAATTCAGTGGTTATCATTTGTTTTTATATATCAAATTTATTTTTCGTTTATTATTTTGAACATAAATCAAGCCTTTAGTTTTCTCGTTAAATTAATTTACATTTGTCATTTCGGGGTCTATTATAGCTTGCTATGAGGTATGGGTTTTGCTAATTAATGAAGGCTGTTCCTTGAACTTTAATTGATAACTTCTATGTCATTCTGTCTTTGGTGGAGAGTTGTCTCATTGGTAATCTTACCACATCTTCTTATTTTTATGTAATATTGTAACCAACTCACTTGATTTTCTCTGCCTTTTGATCGCTACTTAATGTTTCTTCAGGAACACTCCCATCATGCAAGGCCCAGGCTAAACTGGAGACTTTTTCTGCTATTATCATTAATGGGCTAAAATAAGAGATCAAAAATGAAACCATCAGTCCATCACATCATAGAAAGTTGCATACCCCCTCGTAATTTAAAGCATACAAAAACAGTGATTAAAAAGCCCTTACATGTTACAATGTTAAGCTACTGACCAAATATGAAGTCATTTTGTATAGGAGTACAGATGTACTGGAGAAATGTGGGACTACAATATTAAATTCATTCAATATATTGAAAAATTAAAATATCGACTAACAGGACAAACATGTCTGAATGATCCCAAAAGTGCTCACACGTTATAACTCATCACGGTTAGGCTGCTGATCAAATATGAAGCCATTATGTTCAGATATACCTCTGATAGAGAAAAATTGTGACAAAAATATTTGTTATTGAAGTATATTGGCAAACAAGAAGTCTTGACAAATGAGAAAAATGCTTAAATTTTAAATTACAACTTATCACCGTCTAGCTGCTGACCTAATTATTGCTAATATTAAGTCATTCCGTTCAGTACTGTACTTGTGAAAAGTGTGACGGAAATATCTGTTAGAAGATCAGACATACGAATGAACTGATTGACAGAAAAAGGTAATGCAATTTAGACCTGGCCCCTAGAATGAGGATAATGATTTACAATCAGATAATAAACTTCCAAAGGTTTTCTTTAATCTAGTTAATATTCTTGACCTTCACCTTGTTACATCCATTGTATATCCACCATAGTCATAGTACTGTCTATATATATGACACACACAAACATATCCCAGACCCACCACAAACACCATTAGATGTCTGCTGGACTGTGGTCCATACTTCATCAAGGCATAACACATTGTACTCTGTGCAAACATGTGTAACATTTGACTGGAAATAAAAGAAAAACAAATCATTCATACTTAAAAAGAATAGAATGTATACATATATTCCACAGATACTGTAAATTCAGAAATTATTGGGAGTTTTTTTTATTGTGAATAACGCATTTCGGCAAGTATTGCAATAATAAGAATTAGCATTCTGAAATCTGATAGATATATCTCTGAATGAAGCTTTCCCTGAAATTGCAATAATTGTTCTCGCACTTTTGTTCCGTCTACAAAAATCATGATAATAAATCCACCAAATAATTTCTGAATTTACAGTAATTAGTTTTATGAGCCTGTCATTATGGCATAAATTCATTTATCCAATACTAAAATTTTACAGTGGTTATTGGAAAATAATGCATAGATATACCCAAGACAGATTTGATAGAGGATGGCTAGTTGGTTGTTTGTGCATTTCAATAAATTGCTTCGCCAAGCGCAGCTGGATCCGACCTCAGAGGTCCAACCCTGAATATTTGAAGAAATTTTCTTTTTGATTTCTGAAATCTTGAGATTTTTTTAACCTCCCTCTTTTTCCAAAAAAAAATTCTTTCCCTCAAGACATGGTCATAATCTCAATTCAAATTTCCAATGGAGTTTGCAACCATAAAATATAATAACCCATTTAAATACATAATAAAAGTCTTAAAATAGAAAATGACATACATACATTTGTAATCATAGCTAAAATTAATTTACCTTAATCAGCATTTTTAAAATTATTAAAATAGTAACTTCTAAAAACGAATTGACAGCTAATCACCTCAAGACAATACATTTCTTAATACATAATTTAAAAGCAGTTTAAGGGAGGTAATTCAAAGTTGTGTTTGAATTACCTCCCTTACACTGTAATTTGTACTAATGTATTTGTCCATTAACCAGGACACCCTTGTTTTTTCTCACTTTTTTGCCCCTAATTCCTAAACTGTTTGAGCAATAACACCCCAAAGCCAATCCTAACCATCCCTTTGTGATATGGAAAATTGTGGTATAATTTCAGAGAGATCCATACACTGTTCCACAAGTTATTGTCATGAAACTAGAAAAATGCTTATTTGGGCCCCTTTTTGGCCCCTAATTCCTAAACTGTTGGGACCATAACCCCCAAAATTAATCCCAACTTTCCTTTTGTGCTTATAAACCTTGTGTTTAAATTTCATAGATTTCTATTTACTAATACTAAAGTTATTGTCCGGAAACCAAATGTCTTTCAGACGATGACGACGTGATACCAATATACTACCCCAAAAATTTTTGCTGTCGTATAAAAACTAAGTCTCTTATAAAGATGATTGAAGATAACAATGCAGTGTTTCTGGTGACCCCTTGGTGACCCCTTATTTTACCATGCATGTTTACATGTACACTGGTTCCATCATAAATTGTAATAAATTAAGAGTGCAATATGATTGTACATTGTATATTATTTGTTATCAGGTTATGTCATGATGTTAAACATAAATCATCATCATTGTGCCTTTTCAATATTTTTTTGGTACGTTTATGAAAATGCTTTTATAATATATCAATTACTGTAAATTCAAAACTTATTGCAAGGTATTTATTAATGCAAATAATGCGACTGGGTGATAATCGCAATAATAAGAACTTGCATTCTGATATCTGATACATACTAAGTGTATGCAGATTTTCCTGAAATCTCAATAACAAATCTGGCATGTCTGTGACGTGTCGGTCTCTTCTTCAAAAATTGCAATAATAAATGCATGCAATAGTTTCTGAATTTACAATACATGTCCATTTTGTAATGCACAATGCAGTTTTGCCCAATTTCTGAGAATCATTCTTGGAAATACTGTAGAACTTCAAGAAGTATTTAAAAAATCGTTTGTTTAAGTAATTCCCGAGACTTACAATGCCCATCAGTCCATCAGAATTGAAATATATCTATAAGCACTAAGATAGGATGGATCGGGTTACCTGAAATTAATCATACAAATGGGAGTTATATCTTAAATTAATATAATATTGACTTACTATCCAAAACAGAAGTAGGACAGTCCAAGTCCCACAACAATTTCTGTAATATGTCGATAGTATGACGGAATAGTTTTGGGTGACATCTTTGTTCGAAATATATGTCCAAACCACATTGAGAACAGTTGACAAACAAGAAAATTCAGCTGAAAATATAACAAACAGTACATGATATATTGCATGGAAATTAAATTCCAATTTAGAAGTATGAGCAATACATACTGGTATATTGCCATACTTTGTACATGACACAACATGTTCAAAGTATTTCAAACAACATGGACAATGTAAATGTTTTTCAGGCTTTCAGTTTACATATACATCATTGTACATGTAAATGAACCTGCATTTTGAGACTCATTTTGATTCATTCATCATAAATAAATTAGATGCTAAATTGCTAAGAGGAGACTATTTAAACTGACCCATCTCACATTATTGGGCAATTTAGTAAGATTTTTATTTTGAAGCATAAGCTGTTCCCAAACAATTTGAAATTTCCTGTATCTTATAGCTTGGTTGTACAAAAATGTTCTTCCATTATTTAGGATATCTTAAGATGGATGACAAACATGACATCCCAATGAATCACAGATCTGTATTTCCCACAGGTTTACAATGGTTTATGAGATTGATGTGCTTTCTGGGGTGTGGAAATGCTATGCCCAACTCACTAGACTTGTATATTTGAACAACCAGACAAGTAATTTTTCAGATAATAGATAATAGTAATAGATTGATAACTGAAATAAAACTTGATGTGTTAGAAGCCATTTTTAGGAGTGGAAATTTGATAATGAAAGGTTGATAAATTTCACAAAAAATCAACATGGTTTGAAAAAATGTAAACTCAACGTAGATTGACCTAAAATAGGCAGACTTTTTATTGTTAGTTCAAACTAAACTCAGCATTTGGAGAAAAAAAGTCTGTATGACTCTTATTTTCACAAAATTTTCAAAGTCCAAAGGCCGTAATTTCAGCAAAAATCAGCAGAGCAGAACCAAACGTAAAATCGATCCGTAACTGATCATAGTGTAGATTCACATACAAAAATCAACTCCCAATATGTGAAATTGTTTAGAAAAAAAGTCCTTATAATTGTTCATTGCGGAATGACGGGAAAGGGTTAACCTATATCATTGTATATGGCCCTAACCACTAAGTGGCAGGGCCATACAAAATAAGTATGCAAACCTGTGTCTCATAAACATTGCGTTATCTTTGTCCATTGACCACAGATCGTCAAGTAGGTTTTATCCACCATATGTATCTAACGGAAGTGTTATTTTTTTTCATGATTGAGTTTTATCAAGATGGATAAATACATTTTGCACCCGATAATAAAATGCTCCGCAGGGCGCAGCTTGATACGACCGCAGAGGTCGAACCCTGAACAGTTGGGGCAAGTATGGACACAACATTCAAGCTTGATACAGCTTTGCATTTGGATTGTGATTAAATATTTGACACAGCATAGGTTTCTGACACAGAATGAATGTGGTCTAAGAACTTAAAAATTTTAAATTGGACATTCACCTATTATGGTCCAATATCCAAAATCTAAATACATGGTTAGATTCAGCATATCAAAGAACCCCAAGAATTCAATTTTTGATGAAATCAAACAAAGTTTAATTTTGGACCCTTTTGACCTCAATGTGGACACAGTTAATAACGGGGCCCAAAAATCAAAAATCTAAATACATGGTTAGATTCAGCATATCAAAGAACCCCATATATTCAATTTTTGTTGAAATCAAACAAAGTTTAATTTTGGACCCCGATTTGGACCAACTTGAAAACTGGGCTCATAATCAAAAATCTAAATACATGTTTAGATTCAGCATATCAAAGAACCCCAATAATTCAATTTTTGATGAAATCAAACAAAGTTTAATTTTGGACCCTTTGGACCTTAATGTAGACCAATTTGAAAACGGAACCAAAAATTAAGAATCTAAATACATGGTTAGATTCGGCATATCAAAGAACCCCAATAATTCAATTTTTGATGAAATCAAACAAAGTTTAATTTTGGACCCTTTGGACCTCAATGTGGACCAATTTAAAAACGTGGCCCAAAATCCAAAAACTAAATACACTGTTAGATTCAGCATATTAAAGAACCCCAAGAATTCAAGAATAATACCCCATTGAAATTGGTCAAGAAATAAGCAATTTATACGAAGTATCTTCTTTTGCACAATACTGTGCAATTAAATATTTCTTGCTATTGCGCAATACTGTACAATTGACAATTTCTTGCTATTGCGCAATATTGTGCTATTGGATATTTCTTGCTATTGCGCAATACTGTGCAATTGAAGATTTCTTGATATTGCGCAATACTGTGCAATTGAAGATTTCTTGCTATTGTGCAATACTGTGCAATTGAAAATTTCTTGCTATTGCACAATACTCCTTATATAATAATTTACACATTCTGTTTGGTGTGTATCTCCTACCATATCATTATTATGTGCTTTTAAATATAAATCAGAAATAACCAACTTAAAATAGAAAATTTAAAAAAAAAAAAAAAGGAAAAAATAAAAAAAATCCCCCCCAAATTTTTTGAACCCCCTTATGATTCATCACCCCCAAACTCAATCCCAGCCTTCCCTTTGTGGTATGGTACCTTGCAGTACAATTTCAGAGAGATCCATACACTTGAACACAAGTTATTGTCTGGAAACTAGAAAAATGCTTATTTTTGGCCCCAAATTCCTAAACGTTTAGGGCAATTACCCCCAAACTCAAACCCAGCTTTCCCTTTGTGATATGAAACCTTGTAGTACAATTTCAGAAAGATCCATACACTTACACACAAGTTATTGTCCTGCAACTAGAAAAATGCTTGTTTTTTGCCCCTTTTTGGCCCCTAATTCCTAAAATATTGAGGCAATTACCCCCATCATCAATCCCAGCCTTCCCTTTGTGGTATGGTACATTGCAGTACAATTTCAGAGATATCCATACACTTAAACACAAGTTATTGTCTGGAAACTAGAAAAATGCTTATTTTTGGCCCCTTTTTAGCCCCCAATTCCTAAACGTTTCGGCAATTACCCCCAAACTCAATTCCAGCTTTCCCTTTGTGATATGGAACCTTGTAGTACAATTTCAGAAAGATCCATACACTTACACACAAGTTATTGTCATGAAACTAGAAAAATGCTTGTTTTTTTCCCATTTTTTGGCCCCTAATTCCTAAAATTTTGAGGCAATTACCCCCCAAATCAATCCCAGCATTCCTTTTGTGATATGGAACCTTGTGGTACAATGTCAGAGAGATCCATACACTAACACACAAGTTATGTCTGGAAGTTACAAAAATGCTTATTTTTGGCCCCTAATTCCTTTACTGTTGGTACCATAACCCCCAAAATCAATCCCAACCTTCCTTTTGTGGTATTGAACCTTGTGGTAAAATTTCATAGAGATCCATTCACTTAAACTAAAGTTAGAGTGCGAAAACCAATGTGTCTTCGGACGAAGCCGACGCCAACGTCATACCAATATACGACCACAAAAATTTTTTTGCGGTCGTATAAAAACACCTAGACAGGAATATTGAGAGAAAAAACGGCAACAAGAATCCAGACGTCGTGGCTTACAAATTTCACTGGCTCTTCAGTGAAGTAACCTCTGAAATAAATTAAATTGCAGGAAACACCAACAACTTGGTGATCAAAGTCTTACTCATTTGTTGGCAAATTGATAGATAAAAGGGACACTTTTTTGGCCAATCAATGTTCTGCAAAACACCAAGCTTGTCAGATGAAAGAAAACAGTAAAATAAACAGGCAGACCTGCCAACTATCCCGATTTATGGGGGATATCCCCCTTGAAAGGTGTTGACCTGAATTTTGAAATTCTTTATTTCATAACCTTAACACCTCAAAACAGGCATTCAAATGAGTTAAAAGTTTAAGCATATACATGTACATACTTATTCAAACAATAAAGTAGTAGATTAAAACACTTATGACAATATAAGAGGAGAATTAGTTCCTCTTGTGCTTAAAATTCCCCATGGTTATTTTGAAAAGTTGGCAGGTATGAACAGGTGTCCTTGGAAATGGACAAAACATTAATTGCCTTCTATATGTTTTTTGGTTGTTTTGTTTTTGGGTTTCTTTCTCACTGATGTTACCCCATACCTACTTTTGTTTATCGTTTATACACATTAACAAATATCACAAACATCATTTATATTGTGATTCAAAACCGTTTTAAGAATCATACAAGCTAAAAGTAAAATACTTAAATATTTATTTGGAAATCCAGGGCAAGTAACTTGTTTTCTGGACAAGTAAAATTTACAGTTTAACTTGCCCAGGGACAAGTGCTCACAACAAATATTTCTACACCCTTGGCATTGTATACCAAAAATGTTTCTAACTAAATCTTTACAAATTGATCATGACAAAAAAAACGGAAAATTCTTATTGTTATATTAAATTGAAATACATGTGCAAATTAAATCTATACCCATTTGTGTCTATGGTGTCAGTTAAGATTTTTTTTTTTTTACTATTTTGTCTGTTGGATGGACTCTAAACTTTTCACATTAAAAATCCATAAGCCAACAATTTTTTAAAACCCTGGCCTTTATATATGCTTTATATCAATACTGAGTATAAAATAAATCTCAGTACATGTAGATTTAAAGTGGAAAGAGTTAGCCCTAGGTTACCTCACTGGATACAGTTGTATAATTATTGTTTCAGTTACAATTAGATGTTTTCAAACATGGGGTAATTGAAAAATGTTTATTTAAAATTCTAATTAACAGTAACAAATTACAATTTTGCATGGAATAGTCCATTTTCAAACACAAATTTTCTATTTTTTTCCAAAGGGAAACAACTCCAAGGTACAAAGTAGGACAAACTGTATCCTTTCCTACACAAGCCTTATGGAAAGAGCATGTTTTGTTGATTTTTATGTACACTGTACTTTAACTGAAATGAGTTTCATTAATTTTACAACTCCAATTTTACAATAAATATGTAATTTACTGAGTAATTACTGACAAAGTGAAAATTATTGTTAGATCCCACACAATCAATGACAATACATCATACTCTTTCTATTTTGTAAAGATAGGGATCGATACAGTTTTTCCTACCCAGGTGTAAA